TTGTTTCTACATCCGAGAATGTTGCGGATATGTTTACAAAACCCTTGAACAATGTTCAGTTTCATAAATTTAGCAAAGCTTTGATCAACTATCCAAAATCTTAAACAGAAGACGATAATCGAGATATTTATTTTTTGTTTCTTATATAAAATTAAAATTAAGTGAAGGTGTTGAATGTAATTTTATTTTTATATAATATGTTTGCTCTTACTTGTTCTGTATTTAATTTATACTGTGTGTCTACAGACCAACTGTTTATACCAAAACTGCTTTTGATGTGTTTTTGAACGTCTCCATTTCCTTTTAAGCTATTGTGTAAATAAGACCCCTAAGGCTCATGTTTTACTTGCAGGAGATTTCAATATCAATGTTTTAAATTCTGACTTCTATACCGAAGAATTCTTATCAATTTTAAGTTCCTTTAATTTTTTTGCACATTTCAATGTTCCAACTCGAATTACTAATGTTTCTAGTTCCTGTCTTGACAATATTATCACTAATTTCTGTCCTAACTTGTGTAAAGCAATAGTTTTAGAAAATGGTTTATCTGACCACTTAACACAGTGTTTATGTTTAGATTATAATTATTTTGAAAATAGACAATTGGAACCAAAGATAAAAATCAGTCCATCCTTAAAAAGAAATTATAGTCAAAAAAATTTGGATAGTTTTGTGTTTTGAAGTATGAACAATGGACTGAATTTTTTAGCAAATCTGAAGTAATGACTGATTTAAATGTACTTTATAAGTGTTTTCTTCAAACTTTTAAACTGCATTTTAATTCTTGTTTTCCTTTAGTAAATAAGAAATGTTATAGTAAAAATTGTGATAAAAGGGTGGTTAACAACTGGAATTAGAGTCTCATGCAAAAGGAAAAGGGAATTACATGAAATTAGTAAAATGTCAAATGATACAAGTTTTAAAGATTATGTAAAAGAATACAAGAAATTATTAAATAAATGTATAAAATCAGCTAAGATATTGTACAATAGAAATCAGATTAAAGAATCCTGTAACAAAACCAAAACAGCCTGGCATATTGTTAAAAAAGAGACTAATACAACTGACAACAGCAAAAAAGAATACCCCTTCTTGTTGCATTCAATGTCTGACAGGACGCAACTAAATCAAATTAATGCATTTTTTTCTGACACATGTAAAAGCTTGAATGTTGGTTCAGATTCTTACAAAGCTCTTGGCTTCCTACACAGTAGAATCCCTCCCGAGTCCAAACTTATATCATTTAAGCCAGTGAACCTTCAAGAAGTGCAAGACATAATAAAAGACTTAAAGTCATCGAAAGCCTCTGGATGGGATGAAATTTCAACTTCATTAATGAAATTAAGTTCAGAGTTTATTGCTCAACCCATTGTTCATTTGATAAACATTTCTTTGTATACTGGTGTTTCCCTGACCTATTAAAACTATCAAACATAATACCAGTCTTTAAAAAAGGTGACCCAAAAGATATATCCAACTACAGACCTATTTCTTTATTGCCTAGTTTCTCAAAAATATTTGAGAAAGTCGTCTTCAATAGATTGTGTGATCATTTTGAAACATCCCAAATTTTGGATACATGTCAGTTTGGATTCCGGAAGAGATGGAGTACAACAGATGCAATCTTTAGCTTTATTACCGAAGTCACAGGTACTCTTGACAGATCACAGGAAGTAGCTGGTCTCTACTGTGATCTGTCAAAAGCATTTGACTGTGTAAACCATAGCCTGTTAATACAAAAACTAAACTTTTATGGTGTGTCAGGCATGGCTATAAAGTGGATAACCTTGTTTTTATCAACGCGGAAACAGTGTGTGAACCTGCGGTTAATAAATCTGAAATCTGATTTCAAATTAGTCACAGAGGGTGTGCCACAAGGCTCAATACTAGGTCCACTACTGTTTTTGGTTTATATTAATGACCTACCTTTGATTTTAAAGTCAAAATCAGTAATGTTTGCCGATGACATTTCCATTATTTTCACTGATCATAGTACAATTTTCATGCAACAAACAGCTGAACAAGATTTCCTTCAGCTAGAAAAATGGTTTGAAGCAAATGGTTTGGCGTTAAATAAAGATAAATCTCTTCTGATGGAATTCCAAAAAAACTACCAGAAATCAGACTCATTAACAAAATTAGATTTGAACCTTTCTCTAAATTCAGTAAGCTCAGTTAAATTCTTAGGCATCACAGTGGATCAAAAATTGACTTGGCAAAATCATATTGGTGAAGTTGTAAAAAAATTAAATAAAGCACATTTTATGTTCATTATTTTATCTAAATCTGTTGACATATCCACTCTCATGATGGTTTATTACGGTTATGTCTATCACTTGTTAAATTATGGTGTGATCTTCTGGGGAAATTCAGATAGGAGAAAAAAAGTTTTTAAAATGCAGAAAAGAATTATCCGTATTATTTTTGGACTTAAAGGAAAAAAATCCTGTAAGAGTATTTTTAAAAATCACAAAATTCTTACTTTTCCCAGTATATACATATGTAATTTAATTTTGTACATAAGACAAAATTTATCAAATTTTCCAAGTAACTCTGATTTTTACAACTATAACACAAGACAAAAGAATAGCCTTACATACCCTAGACATAACACCTCCACTATTGAACATTCTCCATATTACTCTGGTATAAAATTGTATAATAGCCTGCCTAGCATCATAAAGGGTTTGACAGATTTTAAAAGATTTAAAACCAGTTTATTCAAATTGTTGTCAGATAAATGCTGCTACAAGATTGGGGACTTTTTCAATTAGCTATTAGTATGTCAAATCAATAGTTAGTTGTAATGGTTGAACAGTAAGTAGTTGTAGGAAAGAAAGTGTATATAGATTATAGCTCTTAATTAATTAGTGCTGTAAATTTGCCAAATGTATAGTTATGTTTATTCTTGACTTGACACAATTCATGTATAGAAATGTACTGTTTGAATAAAGGATTTTTTGATTTGATTTGATTTAATTTATGTTGGTAACAGCTGATCATGTGTAAATAGTTAGGATTGTTTTTATTGTAAAGAGAATTTTTTTTAACAAGTAGGCTATTTATTTACAATCTATTCTATACTAGAACAATAAGCAAATTTAATAACCATTTTAACATGGGGATAGTTACACTCCATCAAGTGCACTAACATACAAAAACTTTTAAAAACTTCTAAGCTTCTAAAAACGATTTGGAAGGTCTATTGGATTAACTCTTTTGAGCCTATATGTAGCTTCACTATTGTCGAGAAGGTTAACTGCCAGGAAATTTGGATGGATTTCTAATTTTCTTTGGTATTTTTCACTTCGTTTTTTTATTTCTTCTTTAACATAGGGTAATTTTGTATCTTGATGAATTACTTTATTTGTGACAAACCAAGGTGCTTGTAAAGTTTTTCTCAGTGTCTTCGATTGAAACCTTTGAACTATTTCTATGTTTGAGTTGGAAGTGGTTCCCCAGAGTTGGATACCGTAGGTCCAAATAGGTTTCAATATAATTTTGTATGTATAAAAGTAATTTGTTTTCAACAGATAATTTTGAATTTCGACCAATGAGCCAATTTAGTTTGTTTGTTTTTAAATTTAAATGAAGTCGTTTGTTCCAAATGTGTGAATGCCATGTAAGCCGTCTGTCGAGATGCATACCAAGGTACTTAACTTCGTTGGATTGTGGAAGCATGACATTATTCAGTGTTACTGGGGGACAAGTTCTTGTAGACATAGTAAATGTAACTTGAACGGATTTTGTTTCATTTACTTTAATTTTCCAATTCTGTAGCCACTGAGACAAATCGTCTAATGCAGCCTGAAGGTTTGATGATGCCAGAATAGGATCCTGATTTGATGATAAAAAAGCAGTGTCGTCTGCAAATGTTGCAAACGTAATACCCTGAGTACTTGGAAGGTCATAAGTGAACAAAATATACAATATAGGTCCAAGAACACTGCCTTGTGGTACACCTGATTCAATTTTTATACATATCTGTAACTATATCTTGATATTTAATTTGAAAAAAGCGTTTGGACAAATACGATTTCAACACTCCATAGTATGTATGGGGCAGCAAAGTTTTAATTTTGAACAATAATCCTGTGTGCCAGACTTTATCAAACGCCTGGGCTACGTCCAAAAAAGCAGATGAACAAAAACGTTTATTTTCAAGATCTTCCTTGATTACACTCACTATTCTATGCACTTGCTCAATGGTGGAATGCCTTTGGCGGAATCCAAACTGATGGGAATGCAACAATTCTTTTTCATCAATTATAATTTGGAGTCTTTTTAAAAAAAGTTTTTAAAAAATGTTGAATGTTGCAACCCAACTCATCTAGTCTGGATTAGTGATGGACCATCATATGTTTTTACATTTTACATATGCTGTTGTTTACTAAATATAATTCAGTGTTGTGTTGTGTTTGTAAGAAAATAAAAGAGTTTATAACAATTTATTCTTTCATTAACTTTAATTTCACCAACAAAGGTTATGGGCCGTTTGGAATAATAAAACAATCATTTTACAGTATTCTGTGCTTAAAAATAAGTAATGATCATTTCGGCAAAGTAGTATGTCCCCTTCTTTAGATCCTTGTAAAGAATAAGAAGCTTAAAACTCTCATATTGAGGTCGTTAAAACATTTAACACACACTCACAACATTAAATTAATAACTTAATTAACTTATAACTAATAATATAATCAAACTATATATAGGCTTAACTATATAATTAAACTTAATTAACTTTACTCGCAACATAAAAATTAATATTTGACAACTGCTGTTGCCACAGAATTTAAAAATTAAATACTGTAATTAAAATTATTTAAACATATCCTCTTGTTTTTGAACAGAACTAGCCTTATATATTTGAATCATTGATTAACTGAAAAAAGGATATCCAAAATGGCCTTACTCCCTTTATTTTGGTAAATCAAAGTTTTACTGTATTCCATTTACAAGACTAGGAAGTAATGAAGCATACTTACACCTCCTTGTTACAGTGGAGGCAAGACTCTGGTGGACCCGACGCCTCAGATACAGAAGGAGAAGGAGGCAGAGCTGGACAGAGTAGCCAGGCAGTATGGAGGTGGCTCTGGTGTAGATATGACCAAGTTCCCCGATTTTAAGTTCCCAGGTAAGAAATAACTAAATAATTTCTTGAGCTGCTCAGAAGTGCTTCAATCAAGGTCAATTAAGGGACAAATGTATCAGGATGAGGATACGTAGATTATACAAGTCTCTTTTTGCGATACTTAGTATTTATATACTGAGTGTCATACTCTTGTGTGTTAGGTATTGAATACTGATACCGATTCAGATTCAGACAAAGAGTGTTATTTTATAATCTAATAGGATCTATCTCATTTTAAGATATATTTAACTTACGTCCAGGCCTGCAGAGAGAAATCTAGGGCCCCTGGGCAATCGTTGCCGCGGGCCCACTCCACTCCCCCCTCACCAAAGCAACGGTGCCGGCGCGGTAGTTAAAACTTGATGGTCTTAAACTTATTAATAGCACTTATCACACCATTTCAGATTTCTATATACATTTTTAAGGCCATAAAGTACTTGTGTTTTCTTTTCTTTTTCAAAAGAGTTTGTTATTTTAAGATCTCTTGCTTTTGTAATAAAAAAGCTAGTTAGAGATATCTATATTTTCATACAGTAGAACCCCGGTTAACCCATCATATGCAAAAAATAGCCGGAATGTATCACCACAGTGTGTAGGAAAAATGAATTTAAGAGAATGTCTATACAATTCAGTGTTTTATTTCATCTATAAAAATGTTACAATGGGATAGAAAATACTTTAAACCATACAACTGAAGTTATTAAAGCATTTTACAGCCATATACAGTATTATTTTATAGAACCATTTCGGTTAACCCGAGTTTCGGTTAACTCAAATTCGGTTAACAGGGGTTCTACTGTACTAAATACTTTTCACTGCGGATTACCGGGCGCCCGGTAGTCCAAGCCAACACCAAGCTTGGTCTAAGAAACCCACTAAGAGTTAGTAGGTTATAACTTCAAGGTAAATTAAATATCTTAATACAAAGTTTCAAGGCATAATAAAGGCACAATTTAAAAATTAAAACTAGCTACATGTTTATTAATAGTTGGTCTACGAGTAAACAATTACATATTCCCTTTAAAGCATACATTAAGCAATTTTAGGTGAAAAAGGTTACACGTATATACGGTATAAATGTGGATAATAGCTATTTACATTACAAGTGTAGTAAGAGCGTTTTTACATCACGCAGGTGAATGTTGTGCAACGAGCGAAGGCGAGTTGCATAATTCACCAAAGTGATGTAAACACGCTCTTGCGTAACGTGTAACGTACAAGATTTTACCTGACCCGACAATATTCAGGAGGTTACAAACGAGCAATATGCTTCATTATCAATTTCACTCATCTTCTAACAGTAACATTCATTTACAAACAAAAGCTAGGTTAGGAAAATTCTTCAAAGCATAACAATAAAATTCAAACACACAGACACAGCTGATTTCTAGCGTTGAACGTCGTTGGCTCCATAGAGGTATATTTTTTAAGTTATCCACTCAATGTTATCTAAATGGGTTTCATTACATCACCGAGTGAATTTTTTTCAACTTTACATCACTCGAGAAGTAAGGAAGTTGTATACATCACGCTTGGGATAGGGAAGTTTAACATGGCGGGTTAGGTAAACAATAATTACAGTATTACTCATTCCCTACATACAGTGCAGTAGCGTCACCCGTCGTGTGTCGCGGTCGGTAATAATCAATCACATGAGTGCCAGTGCCCCACAGCTTACACAATAAGCCTTAACACTTTTGCAACAATTATCATCAATATATCTTAAGAAGACGTTACACATTTTTTTCGTCATATTGCAGCAAAAACAGCAATGCCCCCGCTGCCCCCCCCCCTTTCAGCGGGCCTCTTTACGTCGTTCAGCTCAAAATTATGGATGGTGTATTTCAGTACATGTTTCTACTCGAAACTGTGTCATCTTCAGCTTAGCACTAGTGAAGTTTATTCCACCAAATAGCTTCGTCGTGGTTCATTTAATACAAAAAAAATATAAAGGTCACGACACAGACATTTAAACACAAATTAATACTCTGATTAAAACACGTATGGGACGAGCATACAGTCGCCCCTCCGGTCGGGGACAGACTCTGGTGGAATAAACTTCACCCACCAGTGCTCAGCTGAAAATGACACAGTTGTGTCGAAATATGTAGGCATAATAAGTTAAATAAACAAATGAGTTTATATACAACTGTAAATGTTATTATAATGATCTTACTTACCATAAATATCTCCAGCCCAGGGGATCAACAATGAATTTTAAGATCTATCTTATCTACAAATAGCCTAGGATCTTTTAGTGAGAAAAAGACAAGTTTCTTGAGTTCCAGTCTTTTCTTGAAACAAAGCCCATCTACTATTTCAACAAATAATATTTTATACCAGAATTAAGCAATGAAGATGTTGTAAGCAATTTATAGACCTACATGTCTGTTGATCGTGTGTTAATTACATGCAAATAACCTATTGCAACATTTATTGTCAAATTTTTGGGTTGACGCTGCCAAATAAGCTATTATTTTTTTGTAGTTATATTTTTTTGAGAACTGCAAACACCCTTATTTGTGTGATGATGTAAAAACCGGTTACGGTGATACCATTTAGTATTAAATCTGAAGGTGTACAGTAACAACTTGGAATCTTTGTCTAATTTAAGATTTGGATATGTTTATTCAAATAGGCAATGCCTAAGTTTAATTTTCTTCTCACATAAATTATTCAAAAATAGTTTAGTTGGTTGATTGTTTCTTTTATTACATGTGTTTTTTTTTTTCTTTTCAGATGTAAAACTGACTGCATAAAAGCTTCATCACCATAATTCTTAGAAATAAATATTTGTGTCATGTTCTGTTAATAATAAAATGATATACAAGATTGATCGATGTTCCTATCCTTTTTCATAAGAATAAATTATTTTTGTTGCCATAAAATTATTGATTTATTTTGGCATAATGGGTTTAAACAATTTTGCTGATAAAAAGAGATAGCAAATAGAACTGACTACACCATAATAAGAACAACTTTTTATCCATTTGGCATCTCTATGAACAAAATAGTGTCAAGGAGTATTATAGGTTAGGAACAACTTGTGCATGTAGAATCCATTTGGAGCTAGTTTTATTTAATTGGTACTAGTGGTCGTCCAGTGGTCGAAAACTCAACCAAAATAATATGTTATGTACACGCATTGACTATTCCTGACACTGACTTGACACTTACATATACATATAAGTATACATCCCATCTATATGGACCAGCTATTGCTATTTTTTAATTTAAAACCATGTAGTTGTGTGAACCAGTCACAGTATGTGTGTCTAAAATTATATTTTCTACCTAATTTTTTGTTGCTGACAAAGTTGATGGGTCATAACAGTTGCTTTGCTATAGCTCATAATAAGTCATTCCATAAGTTGGACTTGGTAAAAAACCTTGTGTATTCACAGAAATCAGTGCAATCTATTGGTGGCTCACATCAACTATGAAAAAGTTAATTAAACTGGCAACCACTTAAACATGGGGATGAAATGTCTAGTTGTAATTCAAAGGTACAGGCTTCTCTATTTTCACCCCCACACTGCAAATAAAACATGTGATTGTAATTTCTTCAATTTGTTTTGATTTTCTGTTTATATTTCATTGTTATTTCGTCACCAGCATGGCAACCCATAAATCCCATGTTTTTTTTTTTAATTTCAAATTCATTTTTTGTGCTTATAATAGAGCCTATTTTAATTTTAAAAGGGATTCTGCACATCTACAGGAAAATATCTTTCTAACGGTATGCATAGATTTTCCCTGCGATGCACACGAGCTGAGAAAAAAAGTTTTTAAAGAAACATGTTTGCCTATTAATATATAGATAGATTTTATAACAAAAGTAAATCTGTAACCATCAGGGACGTAGCTAGAGTATAATATGGCACCTTGGCGAATAGTACAGGTCTGCGCCACCAAGGGGGGTCTGGGGGGCCCCCAACAATAGGGGTGAAGGGGGTCCTCCCCCAGAAGGTTTTTGCAATTTTAGGTGCAAAATAGTAAATTTGGCGTGTTTTAGCAAGTTTTTTACAAATATCTCATAGGAATTTTAAATGTTTTAAATTTGTGTGTTTTAGCAAGTTTTTAAAATATCTCATAGGAATTTTAAATGTTTTAAATCTGTGTGTTTTAGCAAGTTTTTTACAAATATCTCATAGGAATTTTAAATGTTTTAAATTTGTGTGTTTTAGCAAGTTTTTAAAATATCTCTCTCGTAGATTTTTTTTTTTGTAGAATAGTTGCTGAATATTTGGCCACAACAATTATTTAAGTGTCTTCAGTAAATCCGCGGTATCAATTTGTTGTCAAAATAAAGGTATGACTGTTCTCTTGGGAAATGTCTTTTTATTTGTTGAAAACAAACTCTAATTTTCTGTAAACAATTAAAGTTTGTTTTCAATAAAATAAAAAGGCATTTCCCTAGAGAACAGTTATACCTTTAATTTGACACCAAAATTATATTTTTATGACGACCTGGGAAGGCGTTATGTGGCCACAGGTACATTAGCCATATGTTAACATTAGTCTTATGGGACTATCTTCAAGGTCTGAAGGTACTGAAGACTCCTTAAAAAGTCAAATTACTTACAAAAAATAGACAAGGCCTATAACTAAAAGTTGTTTGCGACATCATCTTCAGCGTGATATACATAATAGTATGTGAGGGCACATATACATAATAGTATATGTGGATTTGACTGTGGCATTTACTTGATCATATTCACTGAAATAATAATCCAAGGTATCATGCACGGAAAAGATACATTTGAGTCCCTCCAAAACCTATTTCCTGTCATTTCACAAAGCACGCTGATTCTAAAAAGATCTCAGTTAGCCTTGTTCTTTTAAATCGTGCACTTCATTTGACTCCGGACACTATCCATAAAATGATGACATCCCCAAAGATTTCTCAATCAACTAAAACAGATCTTAAAAGGGTTGAGAATGTGTATAAACAGGCAGCTGTTACGAATCCAACAAGTGTTGAAATTACACCATCAGCTACAAATAACAAAGGCAAGGAAACAATGACGGCTTTAGGTATCAGAAAAAAGCATCAAGACCTAAAAATACTGACACTTACTTTCCCACAACAACCAATCGGTATGCATCACTGAGTAATTACCAACTAGAAGAGGAAGGCCTTTACATTTCTACTCTTAATTACAAGACATCAACACAAAAATCTCCTACCTCAAATAAGCAGATGCCGAATAAAAGTAGAAAACATGTTGCTGAACCAAACATGTTTAAAGTTAGAAACCATGCTTCAATTGAAAATAAGATGAACTCCACACCAACGAGTGGGAGCTTACCTCAGCGGACCAAAGTGTATGTCATTGCAGACAGCCATGGAAAAGGATTAGGAAATGTATTACTGTCATTGGTACCTCGATCTATTGAGACCTTTGTTTCAGCAAGCTCTGGGGAAAACTTGACCATATTTTAGAGAAAACTGCAAACATTGTAAGGGACTTCAACGAGAATGACATAGCTGTCATTATTGCAGGAGCCAATAGCATCGAAGACATCACTGAGAAAGTTCAAACTAAGGAAGAAAACATTCCAGTTACATTGAATAATTTAGCTAATGCAAACAGTCATACAAATTTTATCTAGGCTATGTGACACAACCCTACCGTTTTGACTTGGCATGTGACAACCCTTTAAATAAAGAAATTCAAAAAATAAACTGTGAATTGAAACAAATGAGACATCTCTTAAATACTAGCTGTTGGAAAAGTAGTTGATTAAAACTGAATATAATTCAGACTATGCAAGTTAACACGCATAAAGAAAAATTATGGCAGTTTTAATAGGGAAAATTATCTTGTAAACTAATACCACGTGTCCATCTATTTCTTTCATCACATTATAGGCCTATACAATAGGTATGCATTTTAAATCCGATAACTGATAACTTTACAACAAAACAGCAATTGTGTCGATTTGAAAAGCCTTGATATAAGATTGGCGGTCGATTCACACACACTGGTTTAAAGTACAGTTCGTAGCGGGTCGCCGGAATTTTATCCCCCTGGAATTTTACCCCCTGTGCAAAGCTGACATCACTATGAAGTAGTAACCTGAGTGGCCAAAAGTTTGTTCGCGGCCGGAATTTTACCCCTGCGGATTTGGAAGTCTAATGAAAATAGCCAGAGCGTGATTAATTATATTAGCGATAAAAACCGGAATTTTACCCCCTGTCCATATAACTAGTGTTTAGACAACTGAAGATGAACGGGCCGGATTTTTACCCCTTGGAATTTTACCCCCTGGCCGATTTTAGAAATTGAATGATTGATTTTCTTATTTCTGTTTTAGCGAATTTCCCATATAGGGAATAAGCTATTACCGTAGGTCTCATGGTAAGACCTAGACCCGGGACCGATTTACTTTTTCATTTTGAGGTCCCCAGAGGCCAAAAACACCATCCGTTCAAATTCATATATATTATATATATTTATATATATATATTTATATATGTGTCCGTTAGCGCGATAACTCGAGCAAAATTGATCCGATTTTGATGAAATTTGGTACAAACGTGTAAACCTACATTTATTCGAACGAGTTCGCGAACCAGCGTAATCGGACCATGGGATCAGGGGTTTATGGGGGGTTTTATGGGGTAAAAATGGGTTTTTCTCATTTTTGACCCTAAAAACATTAAATTTCTAAATTTCTCTCTAGACCATTTTGAAGAGCTTAAAAAAACAAATAATTTAGTATATTGAAGTGTTTTTGAATGTTCATTGACTACGGAGAAAATTAAAAAAATTGTAAATTTAAAATTCCCATGTTATTTTTATGGAGAATAAATAAACTGTTCTAGTTTGCTTGTTTATGGATATATTTTAATCAAATTTGGCAATTTGGTTTATTTCATACTAAGCTATCAATATTTCAATTGAAAAAACACACCTCAACATCTTTCCCGTAGCAGCAAACCTAACTACTCACTAAAATTAATGTTATTTAAATAGGAAATAAATCTGAAAATTTATAGGGAATATTTTAGTAGAAATCAAGCCGGGTAGATGGAAATTCGCTTAGTATGCAGGTTTGCTGCGACGGGGGTATTTTTTAATTAATTGTAAACATTTTATTATTTAGTAGGTAGCCTATCTTTATTTATTTATTTTGTAATCTCAACTAAGTAAACAGAATTCGCTGTTTAATTTTGATGTTCGGGATTTGCGTTTGGGGCAAACTGTTGGTTAATAAGTATGTAAAATAAACTGAGTAGCTCATTTAAATGATAATTGGGTGGACATTTCTTAACCGAATGTATTGTACCACCGTGAAAAACAATGTAGGCTATTTAGTTTCTGTTGTACAATAACACAATACTAGAGGTCGTCCAGTGGTCAAAAAATTCGACCAAAAATATGTAAATAAAATTAAATGAAAAAATTAAAATTATATGAAATGAAAAATTATATATTTATTCAGGCAAAGTTAGGGCCACATGGCCGTTTCTTACACTATATGTACAGTGTTAACCCCACACTGTAAATAAAACATGTGATAGGAATTTGTTTTGATTTTCTGTTAATATTTTGTTATTTCGTCACCAACATGGCAACCCGTAACTCCCATGTTATTTTTTTAAGTTTTCAAATTCATTTTTTGTTCTTATTTTTGAGCCTATTTTAATTTATAAAGGGATTCTGCACATCTACAGGAAAATATCTTTCCAACAGTATGCGTAGATTTTCCCTGCGATGCACACGAGCTGAGAAAAAAGGTTTTAAAGAAACATGCGTGCCTATTAATAAATAGATAGATGCCTTCTTGTTTCTTCAGGCACAAACCATGTGCTATTTATGTTTTGTAATGAGAAAGGTCGTCAAAATACATGTTGTGAAATGTAGCTGTAGGCATCCGGTACAATGTATTCGACCAATTGTTGTATTGACTAATACTAGAATCTCAAAATTAAAATTAAAAACCTGTTCGATTAGTTAATGTTACAAATAAATTAACATAGGCTACATAATAATAAAATGTTTACTATTAAATTAAAACAGAATGAAGATCATTAATCATTCTCACTAATTTATATATCTGGCCAGGGGGTAAAAATCCGGGGGGTAAAATTCCGGGGGTAAAAATCAGGGCCGTACACTCTAGGTTTTTATAATTTGATGTGTTCTGATTAAATTCACAACCGTGAAAATATATGTTTAATTCCGCATTTAATCCATCGAGCTGATGTCGCAAAAGTCAAAAGTTCGCGGCCGGAATTTTACCCCCTGGTTTGTGACGTCACGTTTTGCCCAAGGGGGATAAAAATCCGCTGCCCCTTCGTAGCTACATACCAACTTTAATTGCATATTACAGTATCACTTGCCGTACTTTATTTTACCTCAGTGGCCACTGAAAACTTGAGAGGATTTTGTCCTCCCATTCTCTTTCATCCCTTGCCTCTGCTAATGTTGATCCAAGTCTGGAAAAGTCTTTCATTGCTTGGTCATCCAAGTGGTCGTCTTATATGTGGTACTCTTAGGAATACATTTTTTAAGAAGTCTATGTATCTTCTCTCTTCCACACATTTCTAGGTGTTTAAATATTCCTCTTAGCTCTCTGTTCTTTCGTAACTCAACCTCCGTTATCATAAATGGCCCGTATATTTTCTCTGCACTATATTTCTCAAACTCAGCAATAAGGGTTATTGGTTCTTTGGTCAGTGCCCGAGTTTCTGAACGATACACTACTATATACTGGGATTATAAGTTATGATACATGAATACAATTTGGTATCCTGCTGACACCCTGCAGCTTATTGGGCAGTTTTTTAGAGACCTAACTACACCGGTTAGTAGTGGTTGTTAGAACTCGTGTGAAATAAAGAACTTTTACAAAATATTATCTAATAAAGAACTGATTTTATTCTGATAAATAACAATATTTAAAACATTTTCTCTTTATTGTTCTGTTCTTGATCACTTTTAAAATTCTTACTACAACTCTTCTCTATTGTTTAAATAAATTAAAATAAAACATATGTTAATTAAAACCAAAGCCTAACAAACAATTATATTGGATGTTGATAAATTTTTAATTTGTACTATAAAAAATAACTCGATTTCCAACATCCTCCCCTTCTTGGAATTTTGTTTTACATTATCAAAATTTCAAACAAAACTATAATTCACATATTTCTTTTTTAAGTTCACACACAAGTCCATTTTCCTCGGGAATTTTGATCTTCTTCCCTCTTCTTGTTTCTGTAGAGGTTGAGGAAGAGGAATTATCTTGCGTTTCAACATATATAAGCGTTGCAAGATACCTTTTCTTAAATCTTGATCTCTTCGATGTTTTCATCATTCTCTCAAGTTGTTTCCACATACTTCCCAACCATGAGGTGCTCGGAGGATCGAACTTCCAGAATATTTGATTGATCTCCAATGTATGTTTCATGGTTTTCCGATCCAACTGCTTCCTGGATTTCATTACACAAGATGGAATTAAATTTACCAAATTTTGACCTGGAGCAAAACATTTGTTTAAAGAATTACCTCTTTTGTTCTTTGTAGACCCATCAAACACTGGCTTTATTTTTGTAGTTAAGCTACTGTCTTTTGTCACTGGGTGATGCGGCAGGTAATGGACCTTTGTTGACTCTGCTGGATCTGAAACATTTTCTATAATCCCTTCTTCTAACCATTCTTTGAAGACTTTATCATAGTCGTTGAATTTGTTAAGGGTATTTAATCTTTTAGTTGATGACATCAAACGTCTCTCTGCAATTTCATGATTGTCTAGAAGTTCAGGATGACCCTCCAACCACGGCAAACATACTTCGTACCTATTCTCAACATTCACTCTTACATTTTCTTTAAAATGTTGAAATACTTCTGCATCAATGGAGTCTCTCTGCTTCACCTCAATAGGGTCCTTGATTCCGATTGTCTCCAAGCTCCACAGATCTTTAATTTCAGATTTAGACTGGCAAAATAGAGTTAGCAGAGACATTTTACGACTTCCTCTGCATGGCTGCCTCCCCATCACGGTCCACCCAAGGTATGTTTCGATAGAGACTAGTTTGTCATCGATCTTCTGCATAGTTCCTGTGTACAAATCCACTAGTACATCTGCACCAAGTAAAATTTTAACATCTGGTACATTTTCTCCCACATCAGTTAAAATAATGTTCTTTTCTTTTAAGATGTCAAAGTACTCTTCACTCTTAAGCCTAGGAACATGGTTGCAAATTGTTTCTTGATCTGTCACAGGAATAGAGATCTTGAAAGAGTTATTTACATTCTGAAGAGTCACTAGGTAGTTTTTATGAGATTTTTGTTTTATATTTACACCACCAAACAAGCTATGATTTATGACTTCACTACCTGTTTCTTGTAGACCTAATTTAGTGACACAGTCCTTAGTAATGTAGGATCTCTGGGAACCTAGATCCAAAAGTGGTCTTCCCAAATATTCTTTACCTTTATCATCCACAACCTTAACTAAAAGAGTCTGTAATAGAGTTTCTCCTTTACTATTTTCAAAATTGCTGAGAACCTCTGACTTAGGCTTAGGGCTACTTTGCTGTTGTAGATTAGAATCTGGTTTATCAGCATCAATTTTAGATCTACTTTCATACAAGTCCCTACACATGATTCCAATTCCATAATGCCTTTTACAACAGAAGAGGCATTTTACAAATACCTTACATCTTTTTGCTGTGTGGCCTTGTCTTAAGCATACAAAGCAGCAGTTTTTCTTAGTTAGATGTTCCTTCCTTTCATTTAATGTCAATTGTTGAAATGAGGAACAATCTTGAGCATTATGACCTCCCTTAGAACAGTAAATGCAGTTACTCACCAACCCTTTATGACCCTCTGTACCAGTTGTCAATAGAGCAGCTGCCGTAGGTTGACCCTGACGAGGTTCGTGAACTGCTGACCTTCTCTTTTGGCTGCTACATTTGCTGTTGTTCTCCCCTGAGTGGCAGATTTAAAACTCGAACGAGCAAGAGCCAGCCTTTCTTCACTCTCCACCTCAGCCTTTAGAAAATCAAGAAGTTCTTGTAAAAAATTACTTGATTTATCATCTGACAATGTAGAAGTCGAGGGTGTGTGTGGTAACTTACTTGAACGATGCCGCTCCCAGGCTCGTAATGTTTCTTCGGGCAAAGCAGACTCTACCAGAGGATACAGCATTGAAGCGTACTTGTCTGAAGTGACTCCTAAAGTTTCAAGTGCCCTTAACTGTGTTTCTAGTTTGTCATACAGTCGGCACAGTTTAGTATTAGGACCTAGCGTTACTTGTTGGAGCACTAAACTGAGCAGTTCCCTCACATATACTTCTATTAAAAAGTCATCCCTACCAAATCTTGCTTTTAATTGTTCTAGGGCCTTTACATAATTAGTTCCAGATGGGGGAAAACTTTCTACTAATTCCCTAGGGGATGATCCTGGCTTTAAAGATTGGATGAGGTATTGGAACTTATCCTCAGGTTCTAGATCAGGATCCTCATAGACCTTCTTAAACTGCCCCCAGAACCATATCCAATTTTTTACATCTCCATCAAAGTGGTTTAATTGCAATTTAGGTAGACTTAACCCCTTCTTAGATACTAATTTAAGACTGTGAACGGTATCCCCGACTTCACTTCTTGACTGTTGGCTTAGGCCAACCTGAATAATGAAATGGTCATACTTAGCTCTCATTGAAGATAACATGTCTCTGTAAGATTCTGTAGTATCAAACTCAGCTTCTAAGTCCTCTTCCGTTGTTGCAGGATCTTCAAACAAGGCTTCCTCGATGTCTTCATCTAGCTTAAAAAGCCTATCAGCTTTATCTTGCAACTTGTTTAGATTACTTTTAATTGCTGCATCATCTTTAATATCCTCTGCCAGTAATTTATCCATTTCATTACTACACTTTGTAAAAGTCCTTCTTAGTTGAGTCCTTTTTGTCTTTAACCCTTAGAGTGCCAGGCGAGAAATAAAAGTAACGCTCAAAAAATGCCGATGATTTTTCCCGAAGGTCGCGCTAAAAATGCCGAGCGCGATCTGGCGATTTTTAGGTTAAAATTTTGTAAAAATCGAATTTTCGATATTTCGACCAACGAAAATCGATGTATCGCATCTAGTAACTTTCGACTCAATGTTAATATATGGGTTAAAAGAATCCGAGTATCCATTCGGTTGTTATGACAACTGTTCGATCATTACGAAACGTCCGGTCAGCCGGTTGTTGGCACTTTTGGCTCGTTCTAAAAACGTCCGGTCGGCCGGACGTCGGCACTTTTGGCTCGTTTTAAAAACGTCCGGTTCCCCGGACGTTGGCACTCAAAGGGTTAATGACTTCAGCTTATCCATTGTAAAGTAAAATATAAGCTTAGTCCTAAATCTGAATTTTAACTATAAAAATATCCTGTCACGGTCGCCACTATGTTAGAACTCGTGTGAAATAAAGAACTTTTACAAAATATTATCTAATAAAGAACTGATTTTATTCTGATAAATAACAATATTTAACCCTTAGAGTGCCAGGCGAGAAATAAAAGTAACGCTCACTAAATGCCGATGATTTTTCCCGAAGGTCGCGCTAAAAATGCCGAGCGCGATCTGGCGATTTTTAGGTTAAAATTTCGTAAAAATCGAATTTTCGATATTTCGACCAACGAAAAACGATGTATCGCATCTAGTAACTTTCGACTCAATGTTAATATATGGGTTAAAAGAATCCGAGTATCCATTCGGTTGTTATGACAACTGTTCGATCATTACGAAACGTCCGGTCAGCCGGACGTTGGCACTTTTGGCTCGTTCTAAAAACGTCCGGTCGGCCGGACGTCGGCACTTTTGGCTCGTTTTAAAAACGTCCGGTTCCCCGGACGTTGGCACTCAAAGGGTTAAAACATTTTCTCTTTATTGTTCTGTTCTTGATCACTTTTAAAATTCTTACTACAACTCTTCTCTATTGTTTAAATAAATTAAAATAAAACATATGTTAATTAAAACCAAAGCCTAACAAACAATTATATTGGATGTTGATAAATTTTTAATTTGTACTATAAAAAATAACTCGATTTCCAACAGTGGTGAACCCAGAAAGAGTCGGCACTTGGGGCACGTTTTCCCATAAGAAATAACATGGGATCATTTTTTGGCCACTTTTTTAAAAATCCTGCTCTCGGCCTGTACACCCCTATATAATTGTTCAATACCATTGTACAACTTCATTACTATTTCAAATCCACATCCATTCACAAAATCGAGAGAGGTTTGTACGCGAACTCGGGCGCGCTCCCGGCTCATGGCGTGGGCATGCTCCCAGCTCATGGCGCGCTCCCTTGGACATCCTTAGTGGAAATCCATGAGTTCTGGCTACTTGGGAACCCAAGCCATTTGACATACAATAAATCACCCTTTCTCCGAATTACCTTTTCTAATAAATACATGTCTTTATACTTTGTCTTTAACAACTCTTCTGTATAGAATCCTCCCCTGATTATATTGCCATTTTCATCTTTCAAGATATAAGTCACAGGCTTTGTATTCTTAACTTCTGCTATTGTAAATAGCTCTCCTGTCCAATTTGGGGTATATCCTTTACTAAAAACATGTTTATACTTGGAAATCCTTACGCTATCACCTACCTTATATCTTGGCTTTTTAACTTGCACTACTTTAGAAGTCAACCTCTCATGCACATATTTACTATTCTTAATATTCACTTGGTTAGGCTTCATACCTATAGATCTATGCACCTTATTATTATATTTTCGAATTAACTTTGGAAGTAAATCCAACCATTTATAACTCCCCTGAGCACTAAATTCCCTATATAACCAATTCTTTAAAGTTCTCTGAAACCTCTCTACAATTGCAGCCTTAGTTGTAGAAAATGTGTGATAGTGATTAATATTTAATTTTTTCATAAGTTTGCTAAAATATTTATAAAAAAATTCTTTTCCATTGTCAGATTGAATGTTTTTAACCCCCTTTGGTAGAATGGTTTTAATGGCTTCTGTAACCACCAAACCCGTCTTATTCTTTAGTGGAGCAGCATAAGCTTTTTTAGAAAATGTATCTATTAAAGTTAAAATATATTTATTGCCAGAATTCTCTCTAGCATAGTTTTGCATATCAATTAAATCTATTTGTACAGTTTCGTTTATACCTAATACTTTAAAAGACCTTCTAATGAAATTCTTTCTTCGTATGCAATTTCATTCATTTTTTATAACATCACTCTTTCCTTGTACTGTAAATATATTACCATTAGCCCCAATCAATAGATTATCTTCCATTCTTTAAAATACATAGTTTTCTGGTATATATGGTCTATTATCTAGCCTATATACTTAAATCCGCTCAAAGATGTGGGGTCAGTAACTAATAAATCAGGATTGTATTCCATCAAATTAAATTTTCTTCCTCCATATAAAAATTTTGATCCATCATAATACATAGCTTGTGACATTAAACAAATATCATCTAAATATTCCCCCATTGGTAGATTTCTTATATATTGTTTTTTGGCATCCCAACATTTTTCTTTTTTATCAAAAGTTATAGTCTGTTCTTTTGTAACACAGTCAGTGTCATCAATGGCAGGTTTAACACGTACTAACCTTTTATTATTAAAATCCCAATAGCCTGCTTCCATTTTTGGAACTTGTGAAACATTCACAGCATCTTTACTATCTGTACCTTCCATCAAATTGCTAAGTTTCTGTTTCTTAGTATTCCAAACACCATTTTCTGATTCTAAAAATTCATAATTATTATTGTCTTGTACAAATGTACCACCATCTTTACGTATTAAAGTCTGTTGTAAAGTGGGCACATCATCTAAACTTTCACCCTTTTCCACATTAGTAATTTTCAGTTTTTTAGCATTCCAATTTTTATTCTTAGATTCTAAAAACTCATATTTAGTTTTACCTTGTAAAAAGACATAACCTTTTCTAGTTAATGTCTGTCCCAAAGTTGATACATCATCTACAAACTCTCCATCTTTAACATTACCAATTTTACGGTTTAAACAATTCCAACTATCGTCTTGTAAATTTAAAGTAGGTTCACTACTAGCCCTGGGTTCTGTAGGCTTATTATACGAATTATATAAACGATAAAATTTATCTATAAACATATTTTTATTTAATAAATAATTCCACTTTCTCTCAATTCCTCAATAATGGAATCTATTTCATTATCCACTCCTGAGTTACCGGCTTGGCGACTTAACCAAAGAAGTCTTAACCTATCTACAAGCTCATTAGGATCATCCCAATAAATATAGTCTATTTTATTACCAGTCACTTGTCTCAAACCTTCACCAACAGATTTAAATAGAGGTTTTATTATATTAAGATATTTAGTATGTCTATTACTTGAAATTGGTGCACCATCTTTGTAACTCTTTAAATGTCCATTTGTAGCTTCCAAAATCTCTTTATAATTTTGTAAATCAGCCTGAGTATAATCCTCAGGTTCTTTTAAAGTTAACAATTCCCACAAACCTTTTGTCCCCTTGTAGGTTTTATTTGCAACTGTAACATCTTCATTGGCAATATCAACTTCCTTATTTCCAATAAAAAATTTGCTTCTCGTCTAATACCATATGTAGTGTCTGTCATACTACTTTTACTGAGGTAATTT